TTATGGACCCCTATGTGCACCTAGGGAGCTGTGCGAGCCACCTCGAGGAGCGGGTACCCTGTGATTTCTCCTACCTATACGTATCGGTCGTGCCGAGAACCCCTTCCCCAGGGTGGACCCTGGGGAGCTAGTTACTACCTTACCGGGGTTTCCTCCGGTACGACCGATTATGAGGAGGGTCGGGGTATACGTCGACGCTGGGTGCCCGTCAACGATAGAATCGACCTTTGAGCCCACCTGTTCCCCCACGTTTTTCTGGTCTCCCGAGCTGCCGATTTTTACGTTTAAATCTCCATTGCGATGCGGTCGCGCTTGAACCGGTGTTTGAACCCGGGACCCGGAGTGCGGTGTGGATAAACGTGGGCCGAAAGTGCGGTTTTGCATTTTTCGATTTTTGGCTGTTACCCCCCTTTGCGGTGCCCCAGCGACGGGGTTCTGATTCCGTAACATAGTACTCGTATAGGGGTACTCTCCTCGAGATGCCCCTATAAAGGGACGGTAGACTTTGTCTTGTGGAAGTCGGGAGCAGAAAACGCTGTTTTTACACACCACACGTTTTCCTGCAAAACGCCTCTACATGGGGTCGTATGCCCAAACAGGCACTAGTTTCCCAGGATTCGAACCCATTACCCACTTTCCTCGACTGATTCCCTGCACTCCTTACCTACGACGAAAACCGTAAAGCCTAGAGCCTTACGGTCCGTCCACGCGTTTTTTCGTCCCGCCCGACCCACCCGTCGAAAAGGACACGCTAGGTAGGCGCGCAGCGGGACCAGCCCGAGAAGGCCGGTACACCGCTCTGCTACGGTGGGCTGTATTTGGTGCCATTATCGGCCTTATTTTGTTGTTGAGCTTCAGGCTACCCCCCTGCTGACGTTTGCTTCCCCGTCAGCACGGTGGACCATTGGTGGGTCCCAGGCGGTAGCATCGCTCCTGTTGTTTGTTGTTCGAAGCCTGCGCCAGGAATGATGTCATGCTGGAATGGTAGGATGTTGGAATGTACCTTAGTACCCGATTTTCCTCTTTTCTAACCTTGCGACAGTCTTCGACTTTCGCCTCTCACTTCTTTTTCGAGTCCCGCCCACCCGAGCCCGCACCGCCCCGCTTTGGAGGCGGACTTTGAAAAGGAGTCTGCCACTTCGTATGTATATATCCTGCGTGAAAAAGATGTAAAATGAAAAATATGGTAAATGCGCTTTCTGGAAAGATATGCCCTCATCCGAGGAGGAAGACACGATGGTGTCGGGCAAACACCGTTAATGTATGCATACCCCAAAACGGGTCATCCACAATAGTTTTCCTTTTTCCTTTTCCTTCCCTTCTCCATCTCTACGCATGAAAACATGAAGCATTATTCTTCTCTGTTAATTTTTTGCTTGCTTGTTTTCTCGTTCGGGCATCTTTTTCTTTGCTTTCTGGTTTGGACAGGCGCGCCAGGGGAGACACGATCTCACCCTCTGCCAGCCAGCACGGCGGCTAACGCGTCCTGTCGGCGACCGACTACCGCGAACACCTACGGAACACAAAACGTCTGCAAAGTTCCCTTAAACGGGGTGTGCCGTGGTCGGCGCTCTATTTTCCTGTTATTTCTATTTTTCACTTTCATTCTTACTATTATGTTAAATTTCCGGTTTATACCTAGGCGATCTCCTCTACGTCCGTCCGTCAGTGTCTGCACACCTTTCACCGGTACTCCACCGGTTGGTGCGTGGTAGGTTTCCTGCTTTGTACACTACCGCCACCACTTATTCTCCATAATCGGTGCGCACGGGGACGGACCACGGCCAACAGACCAGGTCACCGACATGCACCCTAGGTAAGCATGCTTCCGGTGGAGCGCTGCGTTGTCTGATATGGACCGTGTCCTCACACATAACTCCATGTATAACATGTATTTTTCCTTTTCTTAGCATGGAGTAGAGGGATCGGCCATAATAGTTTCCATTACCACGGGCAAAGAAAACGGTGTCTGCCTAATGTTACTTTCTGTAGCAGCACCGTTAGGATGATATTCGCAGCCAGATCCAACAACGGACTGGTTGTCTAGCGAAACCAGCATTGCAACGAAGCGTGGTATACATACTGTATGCCACGCGCAGCAAACGTGAGTGGCCATTCCCACTGAGGAGTGGCTGCCATGTGGAAGCACATGATTTGCAGAATGGCTGCTAGCACCTTACGTTCTTCTTCTCCTACAGCACTTGCCTACGTGGACGCACGTGGCACGACTGTGCTCTCCACTACACTCTCGCTCTTCTCCTCACCTCACTTCTCTCTCCAGACACACACACACACACACACACAAAACGTGTGACCCACTGCGCAGACCATCTCTCTACACACTGCGCTGGTCGGCACACGAGGGATACCTGCGGGTACCCACTCCTTCTTTGGTTGGGAGAAGGCGATACCCCTCTACAAAGAGTTTCCGTGACACTGGTCTTAGTCTTTGTGGTGACAGGTGAGGTGTGACCGGATGGAGATGGCTGGAATGGCCCATCATCTTTCTGAGTGAGCCGCGTGCGTGGCAGTAGCAAGCGCGCAACGGAGGAGAACGGTATCAACAAACGCTTTCTTTTTTTAAACATATGTAATTCTTCTTCCTGCATGTAATTCAAAGACACCCCCCACTCCATCCGATGCACGTGTTGCTTCATTTGTTTGTGCGCTTGAATGCGCTTAATTCTCAATTACGGC